GGTTTAATGTCATACTGTGAAACATTCCAGACGAAGAAATAACATCTCCATGGAGAAAGTCGCTCAGAAAAATATATAAACTTTTATTTAGACTAAGCTGTTCTGTAGTTACCTGAGAGGCAAATAAGAACTCCATAATAGATGTGTATCAGTTTTGTCTTATTTTATTGTAGTTTTAAAGGAAATAAATGCAGTTTTTATTCCCTGCATTGGTGTTGATTGATATCAGTTATTGGCAGATATGTAAAGGTGCATTGCGCAACTTTTCTGGTGGAGGGTCAAATCCGTTGCTTGTCTCCATGGAGATGCTATTGCTTTCCCTGGAATGTTCCATGGTATGACATTAAACACATCTATCTAGCATTTATTCATTACGGGTGTTTCATTGCTCAAAAATACAACAATTCTTTCTGTGAATAGGGTCGTCTCTCCACAGATCTGGCTTGTAATGTAACCTAGAGTTGTCTCATTGGTTTGACCTCTACTGTGGAACAACTAAAATATTTTTCAACTTTACAAACTCTTGACAAGTATTTATTGTTGTAGTGATAACATGACCTGCACCTAAATGTCCTCACATCCCCCTCCCACCACACACACAAAACCACAAAAACAGCTGAAAGATTTAGTCAACAAAAGTGAGTCACTGTTCACTTTTCACACACACACACACACACACACATACACACACACACGCGCACACACACGAACACACACACACACGCACACACACGAACACACACACCACACAGGCGCACGCACACACATACACATACCTGAAAACATGTCACTTTACTGTTATTGCATGTTTATTTTACAAACTGAGGTGACTCTGGGTTATTGCAACTACTGATTATGCAAGATTTAACCCTGATGAAAAGTTTAGTCTTCTTCTAGTCCTGGTCCAGTCCTGGTCTAGTCCTTGGTTTGTCCTGGTCTAGTCCTGGTTTAGTCCTTGGTTTGTCCTGGTCTAGTCCTGGTTTAGTCCTGGTTTAGCCCTGGTCTAGTCCTGGTCTAGTCCTGTTCTCGTCCTGGTCTAGTCCTGGTCTAGTCCTGTTCTAGTCCTGGTTTAGCCCTGGTCTAGTGCTGGTCTAGTCCTGGTTTTGTCCTGGTCTAGTCCTGGTCTAGTCCTTGGTTTTGTCCTGGTCTAGTCCTGGTTTAGTCCTGGTTTAGCCCTGGTTTAGTCCTGGTTTAGCCCTGGTCTAGTCCTGGTTTAGTCCTGGTTTAGCCCTGGTCTAGTCCTGGTCTAGTCCTGGTTTAGCCCTGGTCTAGTCCTGGTTTTGTCCTTGGTTTTGTCCTGGTCTAGTCCTGGTTTAGTCCTGGTTTAGTCCTGGTTTAGCCCTGGTCTAGTCCTGTTATAGTCCTGTTCTAGCCCTGGTCTAGTCCTCTTCTAGTCCTGGTTTAGTCCTGGTCTAGTCCTGGTTTTAATTGCATATAACAGGTTGTTATGATTTTCAGTATCACTTCATTTGATTGGCTAAAACTGAAATAATTACAATATGGCTATAAATAACAATAATATAAATATAGTTTTATATTGACCAAGTGCCAGTTTGTGGAGGAATGTTGGAAAATACAATATTGAAATTATTATTGTAAAATATACTAAAAATACTAAATATATCTTGGATGAATCGCCAGACTTTTGGATGGAGTCTCCCCATCCAAAAGTCTGGCACAATTTATGCAAAAGGAACACATTTTTCCAACCCTTTCAAACACTAATTTAACAAAAAATACAATAGTTTTCATGTATTTGTATTTATCAAATGTTAAATATTGTGTAAATTAGGTAACAGTTAGTGAATTAAGTGTGATGTCAAAAGTATTATATTTTGTTGGAGTACTTCTCTCTCTAGTACATGTCCGCTGTGGGTTGTCTTGCAAAATCGTGGTACTTCTTTCTAGGAAACAGCAGCTTTTCATTCACGTGTTTTTGTTGTTGAAAAATGACCACTGTGAACTTTACATGACCCTGAGTTAGTTTTCATAAATGCAAGGTAGTATGGAGAAGTGGGTGGAGACAGGGGGTACGTGAAAACTGAAATTTTAAGATCAGTCAACACCGAAATGCAGGAAAATTCAAGATTACTCAAACGAATGAATCAATCAAATAAAACTCTTTGTAAAGTCGTGACAAGGGAACAGCTTTATAACAAGACTAACAGCTCATAAAGTTGATTTTGCATTATATGATTCGACGGTTATTATTATCACAGCTATTGATCTGATGTAGACTAGTTTGGTCCTTTTATAGTCCTGCATTTAATTCCACGTTTTTCTTTGATTTTAGTTCTAATTTTGATGCCATATGTGAACAGTTGCGCAGCTAGTGTTTTGCCAAAATGCCACTTGCCCACACATTAATCTTTACAGTGTAACACATAGAAGCTGCAGATGTTATGCTAAATACCAGTGTTACGTTCATATGTTTAATCTCGGTGTAAAAAACATTATGTGCACACATGATTAAGAGCTCAGTCAGTACAGTGTGTTCTGACCCTGCCTTTGCACTCTGTGGATCAGTCAAATAAGGACACAAACGGTTAAAATGGCTATAAATGGCAGCAGCTCTGTGATGTAGCCACAATTTTTTTTTTAAACGTCAAAAAACCTAAATATAAAAAAAGCTCTGTCAAGTGGTAAACTGACATGGCACTCCTAACATACTTACACATACGTCAAAGGTAGGCCTGGGTATTATTAAAAAGTTGCCGTTACGATACATATCTCGATACAGATGTAATGAGGCAATATGTTTTTCGATACAGTGCACTTTCAGTTCAATAAGATTCGATACGATATATTTCAAATCGATTTGATACGGTTCAGTGAAAAACAGAGGCTAAATCATGGCTGTCATAGAAAGTCCACTAAGTCTTTGCAAAGTCAAAATGAAAAACACCCATTTTGCTCAAAACTGTGAAAATGTCAACTCAATTGTAGCTCTTACAAAAAAATATTTTGTAAAATACACCTAAAAATACTCTTGGTGATATGTCAATACAGCAGCCCATGATATCAATACTGTATCATCAAATTAAACAATGCAATATTTAGATATTTCAACATTTTTGCACACCCCTAGTCAAAGGTGCACTATATGTTCTGTTTGTCTCCTTGCTTTGCCGGGAATGTTTCAGAGTATGGCATTAAGAAGTATATATTGGTGGAGAGAAGCAAGTGACACTACAGGTCAGATCTGTGGAGATTGGAGACTGACGAGACGACCCCGCTCCTGGTAGTGCAGTAGCAATAACACCTGTGATTAAATAAATGCAAGATAGAGAAGTTTAATGCCATACTGTGGAACATTCCAAGCAAAACTATAACATTTCAACTAAGACAAGCAGGTAGTGGACCTCCTTCCAAAATAGCAACATGGGTAGGGTGACCAGACTTTCATATGTCAAAAATGAGACACACCCAGGTTGGGATGGTTGGTATAACTAGTCAGTCATGATCTGAGGCATTTCTGTTGCTGCATTTTCTTGCTTTATGGTCATTTGCAAACACGGTTTTCTGTTTTTTTGCTAAACAAATGGCAGTTTATGCTCCTCTTTACTGTTAACAAGGATCAGATTAGTCAAAAATTGTGATAGTCCTGTTTTAGTCTTAGTTTAGACCTGATGTTGTCCTGCTATAGTCTTAGTTTAGTCTTGGTTTAGATCAAATTGGTCAAAAATAGGGAGACCTGGGACATTTCTTGTGTAAAATTGGGACAAATCACTGGTTTTGTATAAATCTGCTGGGACAAGGGACACAGAGCTCAAAACTGGGACTGTCCCGGGTAAACAGGCATGTCTCATCACCCTTTACATGGGGCAAGTTTAAACCATTTATTGCCACTGATTGTCAGTGAATAAAACTTTCAAAACTATAACTCAGTGTAAACTAAAAAATATGCAATATAGACTGATTAACAAAAACAAGCACTGCAAATAAAGATTACAAGTTATTTAAAGTGATATATTATTTAAACTTATAATAATAATAAAAAGGTCATAGTGTTATTCGTTTAAAAACTTTAGAATATGTGCCCTTCTTAAACCTCTGAGAGTTGTTGCCTACGTGTAAATTTAAAGGAGGTGCCCAAAACATGATGTACCCAACTCTCCCATGGAACACTTATGAAGACACAGATAAGACAGGACAATAGAGAGTGCAAGACTCAATAAGGCGTGCAAAACTGATAAATTCATGCATCTTCAGTAGTATTTTATCTACTGTTTTTGCAATATACGTCTGCAGAACAGTTAGATAATCAAATGAAAGTTATTTTACACAGAGTTAGCGCGTAAATCAATGAGATATGCTGTTGTGATCAGTTGTAAATATGCTGTTTTTAAGTGATGCTTATAAACAGAAATAGAAACTGTTCAGAAAAGAAAAGTTAGCTACGTTGGCGACACGTTGGAGCTATCATCTCACTGTATACATTTATCAATGGAATACTTATGATGCAATAAAAAGGAAATCGCCCATCAAATCAAGCTAGCATGCAGAAATAACAGAAATTTGCAGTTCTTACAGAAATCAGCGTCGCTGTTTGGTTCAAAATCTGTAGTTTGTTTGGTATTTTTGCAGGTTTGACTGTAAAGGCATCTCAACTTGACAAACTTTTCATTTCCCGGGTTCAGGCTGTCACTGCAACATCGACACTAATACAAACTAACTGGAATTTTTTTTTTTTATTAATATTTATTTTATCACGTTATTATATTTGCATTTAGTGTTGAGTGGGAATATATATAAAAAAAACCGTGTGATTAAAATATTTTAATACTTTTCTAAAGGTGAACGACCGTCCTAACAAAGAGTAATTACGCAACAAGATAGTTAAAGCCTACGGCAACAAATGGAGGGATTTGTAGAAAATCAGCCACAATTATATTTTAATGGGTTTAATAAATATTCTGTAAGTTTTTCTGCACGCTATAGTGGCACAGTTTGTTGTTTTAATGTTTCAAATATTTTTATTACAATGTGAACAAACGCGGAAGCTAACTGACGTAACTATTTCACTTTAGAAACACTAGACTTTGGACTTCTTGCTAGCGCGCAGAAACGGCATCTATCAGGATAATATATTTATAGCAGAATATACGTTTATCGATAGTTTTAATGCTTGCAACCGAAGCTATATCACTTTAGAGGCTTGTTTGACTTGCTACTTTCTATCTGTTATCTGCGATCTGTCCGGAGCAGAGTTGAACAATGAAAGTGCACAGGGTCGTCCTTGCTTCTCGGCCTGGTAGGAAACATGTGATTCTGTTGCAGGAATTTGTACACACTGACCTAGTTTACGTTCGTGAGGCTTTACTGCGCTCTTGTGGCTCAATGGTGCAAGTCTTTATAACCACTTTGTTTTTGTTTTCTCACAAAGGTAAAAATGGGGTGCCAGCTCCTGAAAATTTCCGCCTGGAGGAGACGACTTTATCAACTGAGTTAAAAGAGGGAGAAGTTCTGGTGCGGACGCTGTACCTGTCTGTGGACCCATACATGGTAATAATAATCATAATCATAATCATAGTAATAGATTGTGAAATATAAAATAGGGTGATCAGATTATAAAAATTCAAAACTGGGGTACACCTGAGTTGGGATGACTGGTATAAATAAAATGTCTGTAAATTTTCTGTATTTGGCTAAACAAATGACAATTTATGATCTTTACTGCTGGCAGGGATCAGATTAGTCAAAAATTATGATAGTTCTGTTTTAGCCCCAGGTTAGACCTGATGTAGTCCAGGTTAGTCTTAGTTTAGTCCTAGTTTAGCCCAAATTGGTCAAAAATAGGGACACCTGGGACATTTCTTGTATAAAACTGGGACAAATCACAGGTTTTGTATAAATCTGCCGGGACAGGGGACACAGGGTTCAACCTGGGACTGTCCCGTCTGGTCACCCTAATGTAAAATGAAGATAAATGGTGGTATAATCCATTTAACTATTCACAACAATTCCACCAAATCAAGTAGTAATTGTATTTTTGCCGTCACTGGCTTTGTTTACATGCAGCCCAAATCTGATTATTATCTGATTGTACATCACCTTGTAAATGTAAATCAAAGAATCATTTTTTCAGGCAGCATACATTAGATAATACAATACATAATATAATATGTAACACCAATCTATATCAATTTATCAAATTATAGTGAAGCTTTGTAAAGCCGTATGGCGTGTGGTACAAACAAATTCCACATTATTTTTCTGTTTACAGATCATTTTAAAAATCTTATAACTCCCCAAATCTGGAAATAATCTGAGTTTGAGTGCACATGTCACCACAACTAATGTATAATACAGTATTCTTTTTTGGAAACTCACCATGTGTTAATGTTTTTTTTTGTTTTGTTTTCAAATGTTAAATCACTTTATAAAGTTTGTCTGGTCTTTCTCAGAGGTGCCGTATGAACGAGGACACAGGGTCGGACTATCTCCGCCCTTGGCCCCTCGGTGAAGCTGCAGACGGTGGAGGGGTGGGCCTGGTCCAGTCCAGCCGCTGCAGCTCACTGTCTGAGGGAGATGTGGTCACCTGCTTCACCTGGCCCTGGCAAACGCACGCTGTCCTGCAGGGGGCGACTCTACAGAAGGTGGGTGTTGTCCGAGGTGCATTGTATAACTTTTCTTTGACTTTGGAGGGTCTGTCAAATACTTTTCTCCATGGAGATGTTATTGCTTTATCTGGAATGTTTCACCGTATGGTATTAAACCTGTGTATCATCATGAAGACCAAACTAGACTAAGTTCCACGTCAGATCTGTAACTTAGAAACACCTGCAACTGAATAAATGTAAGGTGTCATACTGTGGAACATTCCAGGCAGAGCAATGACATAGGTGATCCCCAAGTGACATAATTCACCATTAAAGGCCTCTCTACTGCTGTTTATCATTAGTGTTTTTCTCTCGGTCTCAGTTGGACCCTCAGCTTGTGGATGGGCATCTCTCGTACTTCCTGGGTGCTGTGGGGATGCCCGGCCTCACCTCTCTGTTCGGCGTCAGAGACAAAGGCCATGTGACCAAAGGACAAACCATGGTGGTCAGTGGAGCGGCCGGCGCCTGTGGGTCTATAGCAGGACAGGTAAACACGTCCTCCCGTGTTACTGTGGCAGAGTGAGGAGGTTGTGGGTTAGACTCCTGGTCTCTCTAATTTATTTAGGTATGAAAATGTTCTTTGCAAGCTGTAAAATTTCTTGTCTCCTTGGGGTCGTATTCTGTGTAAAAGCTGCTAACCCTGTAGTTTACACAGGGGGGTCCTGGGGGGGTGGCATGAATTTATTATTATCATTTATAATATGTAACTCTTTGTTATTATAGTACCGTATTTTCCACACTATAGGGTGCTCTCATAACCCTCCAACCCCATCAAAAAACGAGTACGCGCCCCACAATCCAGAGCGCCCTATACTAGAGATGCGCGATATTTTTTCATCCGCAACCGCAACACAAAAGTCATCATCCGCCCGCTATCCATTTGCACCTAAAAGCAATTTTCAAAACCGCACTCGCCCGCCATCCGCCGATTGATTTTAGATTTTAGAACAATCATGTAGCAAACAAACTAAGGAGCTTTGATAAAAATACAAACTCTATAGCTCATTCATTCCAAATTTCGCTCAACGTGCATACCGTATTTTCTGAGCTATTAGACGCGCTCTTAAGCCTCCAACCACAACTGCACGCCACAATCCAGAGCGCCCTATACACGAATCCACTCGGGTGTCCCAGCACGACTTCAGTAAAGTACAAAGCCGCACCACCCACGGAACACACAAACACACATGGAGCAGACAGCGACCACACAGTCAAACACACCCACAGACACACTCATCACTCCACGCCGACGAGGAACGGAACAGAGGAACGAACTGAAAAAGCGAGTGCAATGTGCCACTTCTAGACACAACTGAACAACTGAGTCACTGCGAACACGCCGACAATCCGTTGGTCCCAGACACACCCTCCCTACACGCCACAACTGAACAAAGCCCAGAGTCACCGTGAACGAACAAACAAACAAAAACACTCACCCATCACACTGTTGTTTTGCGGTTTATTTGTGAAAAAAAGTTCGAAAATAGACCATTTAATGACAGTGCGTTTTATAATCCAGAGCGGAAAATACAGTATATTGTGACGTGTGTACTGTGTCCAAATAATATCCCTCGTGGATCAATAAAGTTTGTCTAAGTCTTCATGGAGATGTTATTGTTTTGTCTGGAATGTTTCACAGTATGGCATTAAACCTTTCTATCTTCATGGAGACCAAACTAGTCCAAGTGACAGGCCAGATCTGTGGAGAGGTGAAGTATTTTTGAGCTATAAAACCACCTGTAACTGAATAAATGTAAGGTAGAGCTGTTTAATGTCACACTGTGGAATATTCCAAGTAGAGCAGTGACATTTCCATCAAAACAAGCGTCTAAATTGAGTAACAGCGCTTCACACAGAGCAGTACCTACAGATAGCATCACACCTCCAAGTCTCTATATCTCATCTTTTCTGTGCAGATCGGTCATCTGGACGGCTGCTCCACCGTCGTCGGGATCTGTGGCTCTGAGGAAAAGTGCAAAGCTGTAGTGGAAAAACTTGGCTTCACTTCAGCTTTAAACTATCGAGAGGGAAACGTGTCCAACCGACTCAAACAGCTCTGTCCAAACGGAGTGGACGTTTACTTCGATAACGTGGGAGGAGACATCAGCGACACCGTAATATGCCAGGTACAGTGAATGCAACATCTGCTCAGTCTAATATTCACTAATGATCCTCAGATGTTGAACCTTCTCATTATTTGCTAGAAATTGGCTCCATAAACCGGCCGTGTTAGTCTTAAAATCTTTGGGGTTGAATAATGGCACCACTTCCTCAATCATTTCACTTTTGTTTACTAAAAGTGCACTGTGTAACTTTTCTGGTAGAGGTCCCACCGGTTACTTGTCTCCATGGAGATGTTACAGCTTTACCTCCAATATTCCAAAGTATGGCATTCCACTTTTTCATCTACATAGAAACAAGCAAGAGGTGCCATCAGGCCAATTCACAGGTGAGATCTGTGAAGAGGCGACCCCACTCACAGTAAGAATGCTCATTAATGTTTGTAAAGTTGTTTTTGAGCAATAAAAACACCCATAATTGAATAAAAGCATCTTATATATTTTTATTGTTTAATACCATATTTTAGAACATGCAGGCAAAGTAAAAGCATCTCCATAGTAGCGAGCCCCAACCTGAAAAGATACACAGTGCAGACAGAAAAGACGCTGAACTTTGTCCCAGTTTTTGTTTCATGTGGGTAGGCTCAGGGATTACAGAGATGTGAACCATAAACCAGGGCAACAACCTGCAATCTGACACTTACAGCAAACTCCACCTGAGGATTCTCATGTGTTCCAGCTCAATAATAAGTGAATGCAGTTTTTTTTGTTTTTTGTTGAACATTTCATATGACAACAGTTTTGAAAGAGCCCAAATGACTCTATTTTCTGATCTATGTTCTAAAGTAGTTTCCTCATCACAAACAAACCTGGAGTTGTGTTTTGTTTCATTCACACGTTTAACACACAAACTCACATTTAGGCTGACTTTTTCTCAGCTGTGTTTCAAATATTCAGAGTGTTTCTTAGCTTGTGAAAGTGCCTTCATAGTTCATAAATGTTCTGCATGTATGTGGACACCAGATTTTCAAAAATTAATTTTGAAAAAATAAGGCAGAACACCATCACACATGTTGGATATGTTAAAATCAGACGTCTGGTCTTTCTAAAACAGCCCATTTGATGTTGGTGGGTGCTGTCATTTTTTTGGTATAACATGGTAAAGATGCCACCAAATGTATTTTGTTCCATTTTTAACACTTAATATCTTGTAGAGTGTTCATCACAGAGGCTCTGTTTTAAAATACAAAGTCCACAGTGGTGTGTGTGGGAAGGTGTATGTTCAATATCAAACCTCTGTCTTTGAAACTGCACTTTCCACACTCCTTCAAACATGCCCTCGAATTTGAAGAGGAGAATTTTCGAGCAAATTCAAGCCCCCAGAAATCTGTGGTAAATCAAAAGCACATGTGTAAAAGTCCAGATTCCACAAGTACATTTCCCAAATTTTAACCCTTGAAAATTTGAATGACCGACCTTGCATAGTTTTTTAGATACAACAATCTGAAAGTGGCTCCTTGAACAACTCTGCTCAAAGCAGGTCAGGGGGGAGTTGACAAAATATGTTTAATGACAAAACTATAAGGAGTTTGGAGCTAAAATTTGGGACTTTTCCTGTTGGAAAGTGTGTGAACCTCAGAGAATTTTTTCAGTCAAATCTGAGATGGTCGGGAGGGGACATTTGGAGATTTGGTGTGGAATGACCCCTAACTCTATTGAACTAAAGGTAAAATTTTGCTGTTAACTTGAAAACTACCACTTCATGACATCACAAGGTGGAACAGAGCATTTTGAGCTTTGGAGATGTAGACAGACTAATAATAAAGAGTTACTCAAACACATGTGAATGAAACAAAACACAAGTCCAGGTCTGTTTTTGAGGAGGTAACAACATTATAACAAGTCAAATCAGTGCAATATAAAACCTTTAAGTCTAACAAAAATACTACAGTAACAGTAACACTTTCTGTTTTCTTAATTTTCAGATGAACAAAAATGGCCATGTGATTCTGTGCGGTCAGATTTCTCAGTACAACAAAGATGTTCCGTACCCTCCTCCTCTGAGCGAACAAACCCAGGAAGCTCTGAATAAAAACAACATCACCAGGGAAAGGTTCTTGGTCCTAAACTACATGGACAAAGCCGACGCCGCCATCTGCGAACTCAGTCAGCTAGTCAGGGCCGGACAGGTCAAGGTGAGCACGAAGCAGAGAGGCCCTTTCAAAATAAAAGACTGTTTCATTTAGAGCTGTTTTACCTGGTGTGTTTTTGGTTCATGTATTTCAGGTTTTGGAGACGGTTGTGAATGGGATTGAAAATATGGGAGGTAAGTTTCATTGTGTTTATTGATCCACATGGGAACCAGTATTAGAATAAAGAAAAAGTGAAATGTTTTATAGAGCCCTGCTGCAGTCTTCAAATAATTAAAGGTGCTTGTCTCCATGGAAATTACTTTACTTATTAACGGTGCATTATACAACTTTTCGTTTGGAGGTTTGTCATCTTCTTGTTTCAGTGCAGATGTCATTGCTCTGCTTCAAATGTTCCACAATATTACATACAATATTTATTCATACAACATTTATGAAAGTACAAGTTGTTTTAGAGCTCAAAAATACCTAGAAACAGACATTGGGACTGTGAGCAGGGCTGCTTCTCCACAGATCTGACCTGTAACTTTGGTCTGGTTTGGTCTTCATGAAGATAAAAATGTTTAATCATCTCCATGGAGGAAAGTATTTGATGGACTCTCCACCAGAAAAGTTACACGATGCACCTTTAAGCCTTTTCCTGGAATATTTCAGAGGGGCTGTCACTAACAATTATTGAGGGTCATTGGTTTAGACCTGGTTTTAGACCTAGTTTAGACCTGGTTTAGTCCTGGTTTAGACCTGGTTTAAACCTGATTTTAGTATTGGTTCAGACCTGGTTTTAGTCCTGGTTTAGACCTGGTTTAGTCCTGTTTCAGACCTGGGTTTAGACCTGGTTTAGACCTGGTTTACACCTGATTTTAGTCGTGCTTTAGACCTGATTTTAGACCTGGTTTTAGTCCTGGTTTAGACCTGGTTTAGTCCTGTTTCAGACCTGGGTTTAGACCTGGGTTTAGACCTGGTTTAGACCTGATTTTAGTTGTGCTTTAGACCTGATTTTAGACCTGGTTTAGTCCTGGTTCGGACCTGGTTTTAGTCCTGGTTTTAGTCCTGGTTTAGACCTGGTTTTAGACCTGGTTTTAGTCCTGGTTTTAGTCCTGGTTTAGACCTGGTTTTAGTCCTGATTTAGTCCTGGTTTAGACCTGGTTTTAGTCCTGGTTTTAGTCCTGATTTAGTCCTGGTTTTAGTCCTGATTTAGTCCTGGTTTTAGTTCACGCCTCACCTATTGAAAACCTCTGATCTAGAGTCTAGATGATTCGTGGACAAATGTTTACACCAAAAATGAAAAGAAAAAAAAACATTTACTAATTTCTCATGTCATTTTCATGTAATTCCTGCTTTGTCTGAGTCATAAAACCTCTTCTATCAGCATACGACGCGTTTTGGAGCCTGTGTAGTTGACAATTATTTTGATAAGTTGCGATTAATCGATTAAATTGTTGCAGCCTTAGATTCCAGGCAAAACAATGATATGACCCTCCCCCTAAAACGTGCCCAAGATTAGTGTAGAGTTGAGTTGTTATAAAGAAAGTGTTCAAATCTAAAAACGGAACTTATTATTTTATTCCTTCCTTCTTTCAGTTGCCTTCTGCTCCATGATGAAAGGAGGAAACATCGGCAAACAGATCATCAAGATATCAGACTGAGATGACACTTTTTGTCCCAGGAGCCTTATTTTACCCTTTAGATTCAGTGGCGACCGTAACATCCTTCTCCTGACCAGTGACTGTAAATGAATCTAAATAATTGTCTGTTTTTTCTGGTTAATTCATATGTTCAATTTTCATTTTAAAATACCAAGCAGTTAACATATGCAATAAAATATACACAGTTTAGTTTGGACTGCAGAACCTGAGAAAAAAATCCATAAATCCATAAATATAAATTTGCTGATAAGAAACCTGCATTCTGTGTATTTTATAAAGAAATTGAATTATATGTGAGGAGTATTCAATCTTGTAATAACTCAAAGGCAATAAAAACAGTAGAATTCTGGTCCTGTTTTTTTTTTGTTTTTGTTTTGTTTTGTAGCCTTACTTTACCTTTTGACGCAAAGATGACCCTAACATGACTGAAATTACTTTAAATGAATGAATTTGTCTGTTTAAAAAAACAATAATGAAAGACTGAAATATGGTGATTGAAGACTTCGTGTGCCATTGCTGCTTTTGTTTTTTGTTTTTTTTTGGTTTAGTTTTTCTGTATCCTGATTTTACCCTTTGATACACTAATTACTGTTTTTTTGTTGTTGTTTTTTTTACAACTTTAATGATTATGAAACACTTACCAATTAAGGTTACATAATAAAACTGTCAAATTTAAACCTCTTTGAACCTTGTGTTTTTAAATATTAGATTATTCACAATTTTCCATATTTGTCACTGTAACCCTAAATTAAAACTAAAGTTCTTGTCAGTTGCAATTTAAAGTTTAATAGTCGTCAAGTCTAAGGTTATGTTTATTTTATTAGTCGACTTGTCAAATCTATTTTATCTCATTGTGCACTGAGAGAAAAATTGAAGATTTCTAGAATTTTAGGAATAAAGTTTATTAATTTGAAAATGTGTAGGCCTGTGTAAGTATATCTCTTTTGTTAGTTTTTTTGCCATTTTGATTTGATAATGCTGATCCCTTTGTTATAATTTTTTATGAGTAACTGTATTCGGTTACAGTTACTGTTTCAATGAGTGGTATACAGCCCCCCCCCCCCCCCCCCCCCCCCTAAGCAAGCAATGACTACATGCATATGCGATAACATTTACTCTTGGACTTCTTGCAGCCACTGTCAAACTGTAATTAAAAGTGATTTTGACCAGGTAAATTGTTGCGTGTGAGCGCCTCAGTAACCATGGTAACGATGACAGCTGTACACGCCCCTCTCCCTCACAGGAGCCAATCACAGTGCACGCAGAGTGCACAGGGCGGGCGTTAAGAGTTTTTTGACTTTTCATTGGTTTACATGATTCAGCTGCGTCATCAGTCAAAACAAACTTTTCTCTGGATGTCAGTCAGTTTATACGTGCTCTTGTTGTTTTATACTATTTACCAAGACCTAAACGAGTCGTTGTGATATCTGTGTCCTTGATAAATGCATTGTAAAGCTCTGTTCTGCTGCGTAAAGGCGTCACAATCGCCAGTAATGTATTTTGTTGGCTGCTCTGCTTTGGTTTTCTTGTTCTGTTGTTGAGATGTCGGTTCTGGGAATGAGAAAAAAAACTTTACTTTAGTCCTGTAGGTATTTTCAATTCTCACTGATCGTTCTATAGCAGAAGAGAGCAAGTGGGCGTTTCCAAAATGAATTCTCCAGTGCGTAACGGAGTGCGTAAAACCCAATTGGACAGGTACTACGCGGCAAAATCATTTCACGTAGGAGGCGATTTGTTTGCGCCTCCTGCGCTCTTCAAGGTTGTTTGTGCTGAAAACACATTGAAACGTTGAAATAACAAAGTATCCATTACCAAAAGGAGCTGCCACACGTGCATGTTTACGCACGGGTGAGTGTCGTTTCCTCCACGTGCAGAGAAACGGAGATGCACAGGTGTTGAAAAGGTAAACTGCAGGATTGGGTGACCAAAATTGCCAAAATAAATGTGGTCCTATGTATCGGGTTTGGTAAACTACAGGACAACACAGTTAATCCAAGCACCTGTGCAACCTACAGCACTGTTGGCACTGTTTACTGTAACTAAACGAAAACCACGGTGTAAAACTGATGTTCCATGAAGTGTAATTTGTTGTATAATGCCCCAGCTTTGGATATTTCTGGATGGACATTTCTGTTAGTTATTTGAGAAGTTTAGGCACATCTGGGCATTTTTTTTTTGCATTTCTGCTTTACCCCACACTCAACTGCAGTGTTTAATTTTGTGTTTTATGAAGAGTGGGGGAAATTTTGGCTTTGCAATCTACAAATAGGCCAGTAGGTGATGCTAAAGGGCTTCTTCAGAATTTCAGCTGATGTACAGAAGCCCAGTCTGTAGGATGTGTTTAATACTGATTTAAAATGAACTGAAGGCGCACTATGTAACTTTAGAGGTGGAGGGTTTGACACCTGCTCGTCTCCAGAGGGGTGTTTTTGCCATAATATGATATTGAAACTTCTCTTACATTCTTTTTTTTTTTTTTTTTTTTTTTTTTAATGCAGCTGTTTTTATTACAAAATCAAATAAGATGATTCATAGTGTGAGTGTGAGCTATGTGAGCTGGGTGGCCTCTCCACAGATATGGCCTGTAACTCATGTGTCACCTGTTTGTCTCCATGAAGATACGTGTTGAAAGAAGAATTGCAGCACAGTAACACATTTTATGGACAATTTACCAGATTAATCATTGTCTTTAATCATGAATCAAAGTTCCATCTCGTTATAGTCGCTATGATTGTTTTAGTCAGGAATGATTTCTTTCTGATTTCGATAGTGATATGTTTAAATTCAAAACTAAGAAGGTTAAACATGGTGATTGGAGAATTTTTGAGAATATTCATATTCACAAATGAAGTATATACATGAAAATCTGAAATTTGGTGAAGTCATATGGATTTGATCATTCTGCTGCTTTTGTTCTAGAAGGTCTTTTGGTATATTTGGAGAGTCTGTAGAGTCTGTGCACTATTTCACACAAACAGTGATCAAAATCCTGCTCTTTTCATAGTCATTCTTTCATGTTTTTCATTCATGTGTTTACCATATTTTCCTCACTATAGGGGGCGCTTTTAAGCCTCCAACCCCATCAAAAAACGACTGCGCACCCCACAATCCAGAGCGCCCCATACACGAATCCACTCGGGTGTCCCAGCACGACTTCAGTAAACTAGAAAGCTGCACCACCCACAGAACACACAAACACACACGGAGCAGACAGCGACCGCACAGTCAAACACACCCACAGACACACTCATCACTCCACGCCGACGAGGAACGGAACGGAGGAACGAACCGAAAAAGTGAGTTCAATGTGCCACTTCTAGACACAACTGAACAACTGAGTCACTGCGAACTAGGGGTGTGCAAAAATATCAAAATATCGATATATCGTATCGTTTAATGTGCTGATACAGTATTGATATTGTGGGCTGCTGTATTGATATATCGTCAAAAGTATTTTAGGTATTTTTTCGCTAAATTAGTTTGTGTAAGAGCTACAGTTGTGTTGACATTTTCACTGTTTTGAGTAAAATGGATGTTTTTCACATTCACTTTTCACAAACTTAGTGGACTTGTAGTATTAGAGCCATCATTTAGCTTTTTTTGCACTGTCCTGTATCGAATCGATGTGAAATATGTTGTATCGAATCGTACTGAATCGAAAGCTCACTGTATAGAAAAGCGTATCGTATTGTGGCCTATGTATCTATCGTATCGATAACTTCTTAACGATACCCAGCTCTACTGCGAACACGCCGACAATCCGTTGGTCCCAGACAGCCCCCTCCCTACACGCCACAACTGAACAAAGCCCAGAGTCACCGTGAACGAACAAACAAACAAAACCACTCACCCATCACACTGTCCAGTGCGGTTTATTTGTGAAAAAAGTTTGAAAATAGACCATTTAGTGACAGTTTATAATCCAGAGCGCCCTATAGTGTGGAAAATACGGTATTTAGTCAATGTTTCACAACGCATTACAGTCTACATGCATTATATTCAATCTGATGTCATAAAATAAAACATTCAGTGTGTGGAACAGTCAAACTCTAAGTCAGTGAGCAGGTGTAGGCAGAAGCTAAAGCTTATTGTGCGTTAATGGACATTCATCTCAAAATGAATATGACATTAATACAACATTTTAGTACATCATAATAAAAGTCAACTAGTCAATAAATTATTCTGATTAATGGTTGCAGCCCTTCATCTTATCTTATAAATCAGAATAAAGCATTTTTAACAGATTGTTTTTATTTTTTAGGCCTTCTTGGATCTCGTCTCTAAAATGTGCTCCGTTCCTGGCGTTCCCACTCCAGGCTCTGAAGTGTCTGTCGTCGTCACCAGAGTGAACCTGAACCAGAACTGTGGCCTGGTGGAGCTGTGGGCCAGTCTCAACAACGAAATCAAACACGTATACGAGCAAATGCGAGAGGAGATCCAGATTCCCACGAGAAACTTCTGTGGCCCGGAAGGCAAAACCGGAGACCTGTGTTTGGTAAATGTTGATGAGAAATGGCACCGGGCTAGAATTGTGTCCATACAAGATCAGAACTATAATGTTTTTTTAATTGATCATGGACAGCCGCACGCCACGATTAGCGCCAAGCTGGCATGGGGCAGAGACGAGTGCTTCATCCTCCCACCTGAAATCGAATGCTGCGTGCTCGCCAACGTCCTCTCCACCGAAACCACCTGGCCGGAAAGAGCCACTAACTTTCTTAAATCTCTACCAGGCAAAGAATTCCAAGGATTGGTCCAAAATGCGTTAATGCCGGATAGGACGATTTTGCTGGACCTGCCGATAATTTCAAAGCATCTGTGCAAGGAAGGGGTTGCCAAAAAGATTCCTGGTGGAGAATTCAAAAATTTGGTGTTAAAATGTCTGAATTTGCCGAAAGAAAAAACAAATCAGACGATCACAAAAGAAGCAAAGCTTGAATGTTAATAACCAGCTTGAAAACGAAAATCGCTACTTTTACCCCGAACTTATGACGAATACATTAGAATCTATACGCGTGACAGAAGTGATCGATCCAGGAAACCTATTTTGCGAGCTTGCTATATATTCGAAAGCAATTAAGATCTTGTCCGAACAACTGAACGAAGAACTCAAAGCGAAACCTCGCACTGACGATCCCCAACCTCAAACCGCTGGAATGCCATGTGCCGTTTTTGGAATAGATGGAAAATGGCGGCGTTCTATTCTAAAACAACAAATAACTTCCAAGGATGCTATGGTTGAAGTGTTTTTCGTAGATGAAGGCAAAACTGAACTAGTCCAAGCTACAAATGTAAAAAAATTGGATGTGAAATTTTTGAGAATGCCTGTTGCAACTTATAATTGCAAGTTAGACGGAGTAAAGAACGAGAAACAATGGGAGCAAAAAGAAATCAATTACTTAAAATCGTTAATACTGAACCAAAACATCATAGCTAGATTTGATAGTCATATTTTACCAGAAGATCAGTACAGTGTTAGTCTCTACACCCCCAGTGCAGCTTGTATAAATGACCAGTTTTTGGAAAAGAAGGTAGACGAAATCCAAATTGACGCAAGACCACGTACGATGTTTCTAAGCGATTACACTCATGACAGTGCGGACCCAAGCAGTTTGCCGACTTGCTACAGCTCTCCGTTCAGTCCTATGGAGATGCCACTTTGCGATTTGTTAACCGTCGGAGCTTGCATCAGCGTCAAAATCTCCTGCGTCGACACTCCGAACAAATTTTGGTGCCAGACTTCTCAATGTGACAAAAAGCTGGGTATTCTAATGAGCGACTTGCAAGCACATTACGCATCTGTTCACCCAAAACCGCTTGTGGATTCCATTTGTGTAGCGCGAAATCCTGACAACAACATGTGGTACAGGGCCAAAATCATCGCAAACCAGCGATCTCCCGATGTGGAAGTTCGATTTATAGATTTTGGTCAAACTAAAAAGGTCCCATTGCGAGAATTACATCCGATAGACCCAACTTTTCTCAGACTTGACGCACAAGCATTCCAGTGTTCCTTGTTCGACGTTCCACTTGCAGATATTAACTACGCAAACGAAGAATTTCACAAGTTCGTAGATTCAGATTTGGCTCAAAACGGCGGGCTAACTTGCGTCATAAAAGCAGTTGAGTCCGATGAAGAAGGCATGCTGCTAAACGTGGTTGATCTGAAAACTCCATCTGAAAGTTTGTCTCAAGTTCTAGCTGAAAAACTCGCGGCAAGACCTGAACTTTTGAACCATTCAGACCACAAAATCAAAGTGAATTCAAAAGAAAAGCTCTACATAAGCTATTCCGAGACGGTCCATAACTTCTACGGTCAACTTGAAAAAAATTCACAACTGTTCCAGCAACTACAGAATGATATTGAAAAACTAGTGGCCAATTACTCATTTGCTCTTGATGACCTCTGCATAGCGAGATACAAAGATTCTAAATGGCAAAGAGGACAAGTTGTAGAAACATCTCCAGATTTAAAAGTGCATTTTGTTGATTTTGGTGAAACGCGCCTTGTAAACAAATCAGATATTCGCCCATTTCCACGTGAAGCAAGTGCAGCAAAGACTATTCCTGTTTTGGCTGTTCCTCTTGGGTTGTTCAACATCCCAGAAGAGATCCCTCAAGAAATCAATGCATGGTTTGTTGAAAAAGTTGACGGTCAAAGTTTAACAATGTCTGTGTTGGGAAAAGGACCAAATGGGAAGCTCATGGTTGAGTTATTTGATGGTTTGAAAAGTTTGAATGTGCAAGTGAGAGATAAAATTGTGAATTTTGCAAAAGCTGAGCAAGAAGAGAAAATGGATGTGTCCAGTGGGGCAGTGATGAAACAAAATAACCAACAAAAATCACCAACAACGCAAAGTGAACAGTTAAATATTAAGGATAAACCCACGTCACCGTCTCAAAATGCTCATTGCAACTCTACAGCTAAGGAAACAGATGCCAGTATTCAACCTACAAGTGCCATGGAAAACAATAATCAAGGAAATACTAAATCGACACCAAATCAAACCGCAACCTCAAGTAAAAGTCTCACTTACAAAAAGCCAATTATATATTTTAACAAGACCGAAGTGCTGCATGCCTCCTGTATTTCAAGTCCAGATTACTTTTGGTGTCAACGCAGCAACACTGATGAGTTGGACAAAGTGACTGAACTTGCTCAAAATGAAGGACAAGCTCCACAAGATCCTTGTTTCCCACAGTCGCTCCGTGTTGGAAGCCCATGTTTGGCTTTGTATAGAAGTGACAAACAGTGGTATCGGGCACAAGTCGTAGAAAAACATATAAACAAATTTTCTGTTGTATTTATCGACTACGGAAACGAAGAAGAGATTGATTACAAAAACGTGCGGCCGATATCTACCAATTTGCTTGAGATTTCGCCGCAAGCCTTTTTGTGCACGTTGTACGGAATTGTCCACGATGAAGAGCTGTGGCTTGATTCACTTTACGACGAATTCTACGAACTTCTCACAAATAAACCGCTGAACGTAAAGGTGCTAGACATGACGCAGAATATGGACGTCAATGTGCCGCAGTACATGGTCCACATAGACAACGCTGACGTGGATAAACTGTTAAACGATTATGTCATTGGACCATCAATCCCACCGAAAGAGATCTGCGAGCTGTCTCAGGATTATTTCACTCATTTCTACTGTGAGCCAAAGAGTCTAGTCGATAAAAAAGTAGAAGCAATCGTGACTTCCAGTTCTGGACCTGGGCGCTTTTGGTGTCAGTATAGTGATTCAGAAAAGCTGATTGAAATCACTAAACTTATTCCAAAAGGTAGTTTGGACGAAATCAAATCATTCTCTGATAGGGTTTCTCCAGGAAGTCCGTGCCTTGTTTTATCTGACAACGAATGGAAAAGAGCACAAGTTATTAAAAGAATAGTGGGCAGTGTAGAAGTAGCTCTCGTCGACTACGGCTGTGAACACGAGCTCTATTGCCAAGACACAAGACCGATTCCACTTAGTCTGAGGATGATTCAACCTCAGGCGTTTTTATGTCGTATGGAACATTTTGACGAGAATGCACTTTGGAATGACAAGCTTAATGATCAGTTTCACAAAGCGATGGCGGACAAGGTTTTAGAACTAACTATTGTATCCGTAGCGTTCGATGAAGATGTTAAAATCCCACTATATACTGTTGAACTTGGTGCTAGTTCTTTGGAGAAAGTGAAAAAAGTATTCTACAAGCTAAGTGTGCCTGAAACTACTGCACAAAATTCTCTGACGACTACGACAACTGTTCCCATTGTCCAGAACACATTCAGAAGCCCTAAACTTGAAAAAAACACAACAGTGGCTGCGTATGCTTTAACTATATCGGGACCAGGCTACTTTTGGTGCCAGTTTTCCGACCGCGTACAACTAAACAAAATAGAAAAAATGGTAAAAGATAAAGCGAGAATGCTAAAACGAGATCGGAATTTCGGACATACTCTGGTCCCCGGCGACGCATGTATAGGATTGTCCCCAGAAGGTAGTTATTATCGCGCTCAGATTCTTCGCAAAATGGAAAATAAGTTCACAGCTTTGTTTATCGACTACGGAAGAGAAGGCGATGTTATGATCGGGAATGCCCGCCCGATTTCTCAAAGCTTGCTCCAAATTCGTCCCCGCGCGTTTCTTTGCTGTTTAAACGGATTTGACTATTCGAAAGGAAGCTGGGATGATGCTGTGTTCGATTATTTTAACAATTTCTTAACAGGCAAGCTTCTCAAAGTGACCCCAGTTCGCAAACTTATACACAAAGATGAAAAATTGTCCCAGTTTGTTGTTGATATAGAATGTGGAACTGAGTCAGTAAAGGAGGTGATGCAGAAGTATTGGAAAGCGACAAACATGGACAATGTTTCAACCGAACTAGACAAAAATCGGCAAGCTGACTCAAACCCCATTAAGAAAATGGCGTATAAGAACCCCAAAGTAACCCTGAACAAAACTGAGCTAGTCTACGCTTCCTGTATAGGAGATCCACATTTTTTCTGGTGTCAGTTCGTCACTTGGGCCGATTCCGATATTAAAAAAATGGCGCAGGAAGCAGGACTGTCCCAACCGCCCCCCACAACTTTGAGTAAAGGAGACTCCTGCTTGGCCTTGTTTTCAGATGATAACCACTGGTACAGAGCATTGATCAGTGAGAAAAAACGCGAAAAGATCAATGTCATTTTCATCGATTACGGAAACGAAAGCGACAACATGACGATCAAAGATACAAGAATCCTGCCGCAAAATCTGCTTGATGAACCTCCGCAGGCCTTTCTGTGCACACTGTACGGGTTTGACCAGTCACAGGGAACGTGGGACGATGACGTGTACGACGATTTTTACAACACGATTCTGAGCCAACGCCTGAAAGTGAAGATTATGAGCGTGACGGAAAACGCAGACCTGGAGATACCTCAGTACGCAGTGATGATCGAGATGGAAGGAGGAACCAGTGTGAATAAGCTAATGGAGAAGTACTGGACAAGATCGACTGGACCCCAAAAGCCAACGGAGCAGGTAAATACAGTTTAGTAATATTTTGCTGATAAAACTTGTAATTGAGTGTTTTTAATTCCTATTTTTATTCCGTTTATTTTACAGGAAGCTGCCAGGACTTCTAATCGCCCATTACTATGATGTACAGGTAAAGATTTTTTTATTCAACATTATTCTATATTTTAAGATGGAAGAAGAATTTTAAGAAGAAGGTTATAGGATTTTGACCTATGCTCCAGCTCAGTGTTAGACTTTGGACAATTAAGAATCTTTTTACATGAATCATGCCTTGTTATTATTTACCCTTAATTTCTGAACTATAAGTCGCTCTGGAGTGTACATCACATCAGCCAAAAAAAGTGTAATGAAGAAGAAGTGCAACTTATGTCTTAGTTGCACTGGACTATAAGTTTGCACATTTCCTGTGTAAAGTCAAGTTGTAGTAACAACAATAGAAGAGAGAACAACAGACTGTTAACGTCACACATGAACAGTTCTTCAGATAAACTATAACATAAACAACAGAACAGAACAAGTTTAACAAACTCTCCATCTCACTCCAAATCACTAAATCCATTGAATTCTTCATCCTCGGTGTCACTTCTGAACAACTCAGACTCAGCATCGGTTCCAGTTAGAATGACATGATACAGACAGAACAGAGGCTCTTTCTGCAGGAGACATGTGCAGTAGAGTGAAGTGACAGTGGTACAGGAGGAACAGGAGCAGCAGATACTCACACACAAGACTAGAACCTCTCACCACTTCACTCTCAACATTTTAATTTGGGTCTGGTCAAGTGTTAACGGAGGGAAACGGGCAGATTTTTGACATTCAAATGTCTCTTATTCAGAAACTAGAGGGACTATTGAAATAAGTAAAGTATCAGAATGTAGGAAAGAGTTACACTCCAACAGGGTCAAGTTAAACCTGTGATATTCTTTCAAGTTGTTGACAAAAAAATTTAAAAACTCATGTCGGTAACGGAGGGAATGAAATATGCAGCACTTTTTGGGCAATAAATCCAAACAGTGATAACTCTTGGTTCTCACTTCCATATCCTTAACAAACTGGTTTGAATATTTGCTTCATATAGTTTTCTACCATATGGTACAAGATTAGGTTGAAAAACCTCTTACTTTTTGACTCATGAGATTTTTTATTAAGAAAGATCATGGTAACGGAGGGAAAGTAACGGAGGGAAAATTGTGCAAACAAGTAGAAGGTGCAGGATTTTACATCATTTGTCAACTTTTTTCTTCTGAAAACTTTAATATTACTTCAAAATGAAAGTTAAACTATTTCTATAAAATATGTCAGTCCTTCCAAGCACATTTTTATCATTTTAAATACATAAAAAAAAAAAAAAATTATGTACCTTCATCAACAATTCAAAGATGGAAAAACACAAGATATGATGAAATACATCCATTTATTTGATTTGCAGGTCTTTGAAATTTGGGAAATAATTTTTGTTTCATGTTTCATACATGGTCTGTTTAAAACGTCTGTAACTTTAGAACCAAAAATGGTACAGAAAAAAGGTCAACAGTTTCATAAACTAGAGAACATATGTATCTGTTCAATACATTTTTATATCAGATGAATTAACTTGAATTTTTGACCCTGCTGTTTACTTGTTTACCATGAAAAAAGTGACACTTATAGCCCGAAAAATATGGTATTTATTTTATTTAAAGCAAGGACAGTGCACAGGAAGAGAAAAGATGCTCTGCATCATATTTAGCTCCAAGCTCCTTTCCATCTGCAGTCCTTGGGCAGGTACAAAATACATTAAAGAAACCATTAATATTAAACCAACTCTAACATCAACATTTCATCAGTAACTGTGTTTCCTTAAAATAACTACAATCCAATCTATCAGTGAAAATTTAGAACAATCAGAATTAATTCATTCTAATTTAGATAAATACAAGATTGCAAATTCATTTTCTTCTAAAATACTCAGATTTATTGTCATCAGTTTCCTCTAAAACAGTTCCCAATTTTTTTTCCTGGGGACCATAGTTTAAAAATCACAAACCCTGTGACCCAAGTAAATAGAAAGTAGTTTTCAAGTTAACGGCTACATTTTAACTTGGAGAAGAGAGATGAGCAATTGGGCTGAAATCAGTTACCGTATTTTCCGGGTCATTAGTCACGCTCTTAAGCCTCTAACCTCATCAAAAACGACCACGCACCCCACAATCCAGAGCGCCCTATACACGAATCCACTCAGGTGTCCCAGCACGACTTCAGAAAACTACAAAGCTGCACCACCCACAGAACACACAAACACACACGGAGCAGACAGCGACTGCACAGCCAAACACACCCACAGACACACTCATCACTCCACGCCGACGAGGAACAGAACGGAGGAACGAACCGAAAAAGCGAGTGCAATGTGCCACTTCTAGACACAACTGAACAACTGAGTCACTGCGAACACACCGACAATCCGTTGGTCCCAGACACACCCTCCCTACACGCCACAACTGAACAAAGCCCAGAGTCACCGTGAACACCACAAACAAACAAAACACTCACCCATCACACTGTTGGGTTTCATTTAAAGTCCGCTGCGGTTTATTTGTGAAAAAAGTTCAAAAATAGACCATTTAATGACAGTGCGTCTTATAATCCAGAGCGCCTAATAGTGCGGAAAATACGGTATTTATAAATCACGAAATAAAGTTGAATTTAATCATTATTGAACATTAATGAGGATATTTTATTGTTGACTGAGTGATCGTGTCTCTGAACATTTAGTATTACTCAAGTTTTAAACAATGAAAAACAGTCACTGAAGCAACAATAAAAGGATCCAGAAGTCGCCTGTTTGGACATTAAATGCAGCCCTGTAAATCACAGATCTACATGCAGATCATGACAAGGTGACTCAAAAAAATCTCTTACAACCCACCTGAGAGTCACAACCCAGTCTTCAGGAAACACTACTCTAAAATGTACTTTTACCCAATTCATTCATCATTATTATTTATGTCCTCTACAATTCATCAACGTTACCATCAAGACAAATGGACC